CCCCCACCACCGCTCTCTGTATCCGGTTTTGTTCTTCTTAGTTCCGGCCAGCGCTCCATTGAAATACCCTATAGAGAAATTATTGTGTGACGTGACGTGAAGGTTATCAAAAATGCCACCAAATTAGGTGAATGAAGGGGTAGCTACGGTCCAGTGATGGCTCGGCATCGTGGGCTGGACACATTGAACACAGATCTGAAACAAGCAGGCCCGCCCTTCCGCCAAACGTAGTTGCCAGCTCCACTTCGCTGCGCCGGCAGCTCCGTTCGGCAGGGGCCGGGCCTGCTCGGCCTGCCGGCGCTCGCGATTTACTGAAGTGCATCATCAAATAAATAATGTGACCGGTAAATCACTTTGCATATTTGAGTAAAAATAAAGCGTCCTGTGGGGGACCTGCGGCACTAGAAATTTGCTCCTTAGACATGACAAAAGACTGTAACGGGGCAACACCGTGACTACACCCCACCCTTCTGCTTTGCTTACAAAAAATTAACCCAAGCAGTTTCTTGATTGTATATTGTTTGTCAAACAGTCTTAAAACTTGTCTTTTTTGCAATTGTTTTCAATATATCCACCTCTAAGGCCAAAACAGTGAAAGATACGGCAAATCCGAGGGAAGTTCCTGATTCAGAATGTGTTGCTTTGGGGGGGGTACTCCCTCTGACATTTTACGATTGGACGCCTCCTTGTACGTCTTTATGTGCAACGTTGTCATTTTCGCCGTATTTTCGTCGAAAAAAGCACTCTAGCGCCCAAACGGTGCAAGATATAGTGAAACGGACAAAATTTTTGCCCACAGGGCTCTCCTTTCACGAGTTACCCCTTAAGAGACCATAAAACAATATTTTTTTCCTACTCTTAAGCCAACCCCTATTTCTTTGTTACCTCCTTTCACCCCCTTAGGGGTGGTTGCCAGGATTTGCACCAGGCGTTTCGTTGTCCAGGAGTGACCCCTAAGATACCCTGAGATTTGTAGACCTCTAGCTCATCTCCTTCCTCTTGCACGGACGACGGACAAACAGACAGACAGACACGAGAGCGGTTGCATAAGCCCGCTTTAATGCTTTTTTAAAAGCAGAAGGGCAGGCTAAAAACCAGAGGGTTTCAGGACCCAGAAACACTCGAGGGACGCCGGCCCGACAATTCCAGTAAAATCAGGGAAAGGGGGTTTCAATACATACATTTCATCGCACATTATCGTTCAGGGTGTACCCCCAGAAATGTTGAACAAGAACCTTGGTGGTCATGGTGGAAATTAGAGGATCTACCGGAAAAAACTGTGGAGAGCGAGAGGAGCGCGGAGCAGCTTAATCCGGGGGGAGCAACCAAGATGGCGAATGACCGCTGGAGGGAGTTGGCGCCAAAGCGTCTCCACGGCAGGAGGGGAGAAGGAGGGAGTGGGGGTAACCCACTGCGCATGAGCGGCGCGTGCGGTTGAGTATGAGAATACTAGCTATATGTACGCCAGACCACGTCTCGCGTAACAGGCTTCGCGATATCTCACGAAGCACTGTTACGCTGCGACGCGCCTCGCGCACATATAGCTAGGCCTCCGGCGCTGACACCCGAGACGAGTTAAGAGGTCGAGATACAATACAGCATTCCGGTAAAGCTAAAATGCAGAAGAATGCGAGAAACAAGAAAACGGAAGTCACCATGTTAACGCATACTGATTTCCGTTTTCTTCTTCCCCGCGTTCTTCTGCATTTCAGCATTACCGGAATGCTTTACTCCTGGCCGAGCCGTTTCGGGGTCGCACCGCCAGCGCCTCTCCGCGCGCTCTTCAACTCGTCGACACGGCCAAACGGTTCGAGATATCGACACCAAAATTAGTATGCGAGTCTGAGATGGTTGTGTCCCTCACCAGTTTGCACCATTACTTTAAGCGATTTTTGGATTAGGCCCTGTGGTACGTCGCCTTTCATCGACTTTCGTCTACAACAACTCTTTACTAAGGTGGAAATTGGAAAAAAGCGAGGGGTAGTCAACTCCGATATTCCTTCGTACACAGACTGATATTACTCTAATATTACACATATTACTTGATATTCCACAATATTACCCGATATTACACAATATTACCCGATATTACACAATATTACCCGATATTACTTGATATTACTCGATAATACTTGATATTACTCGATATTACTTCACATCAATTGTACATGTCGAGCAACTTAGCACACTTCAGAATTGTTTCTGGTGGTGCCGCGGAAGGGTCAAACATTTCTGTTAATATTTAGAAACTGTGCGTGGTGAACCGTAGGCCTACTACAGTCATAATGGCTTTTTAAAAAGGCCGCCAGCCACGCCAGTTGCCGGAACCACCTGCGATACTGCACTAGTCAGCCATGACGACCTGATGGCAACAGCGCTCCGCACTGCTCGCGGCCTCTGTTGTACTTGTTGTCGGGTACGTCACGTCCATGCATCTACGAAACGTGTGTTACCGGTATTTCTATTAAATGGGGAGTGGACTTAAACAGTAACTACTTTTGCATTTATTAAGGCTTATCTGTGTTCCGTGTCCCATACAGCTTTGCTCCTTGGCGTGGTGTGCAGCTAGAAATAATCTGCTACATGTTAAAGTGTGATGAATTTGTTGGTGTTCTGAAAAGTAAGGTTAAAGGCCATTTCATTCATCTCTTACCTCTCCATTTAAATACAAGAAACGAATATATATTTACATGTTTAATTAGCGACCTTCTGTTCTGTTTGCAGAGATTTATTGGAGTTTGTGGGATTCTTCTCATTAGGCTGTCTTGTCCAATTTGATTGATTCCCTTACTTCGCTGCAATGCCTGGAGACGTCAATCCAGAGGTAAGCAATATGTTATTTTTTGGAAAGGAAATCATTAAAAGATTGAAAAGTTAGAGACATACATTTATATAAGTCATTATTCATTACCATAAAAGAGTTACAAACTTAGAGCAAAACAGAGCAGTCCAGAGCGTAAAACAAGCGTTCCTCTTACCTTATCACAGTGCGTTGTGGTATATGCAAAATCACCTTGTTAATAACTGCAATATATAGTTGGTTGACAGTCTTAAAAAAAAAACCTTAAAATAATCTAGTGTGTAACAGCTTGATCATCAGTTGAGGAAAGATGCACATTATCTTATGCTGAATCAATGGTCATATTTTTTAAATCTAGTGGTAACTTTTAAATCCCCCACTTGGGGGACGTTTACTGTTGGGCAAACGACTAGGCCGCTGCACCTGCAGGGCCTAGTTGGAGCACATGGCCCCCCTCTACCTCACCCACTCCTCTCTTTGCCGCGGCATTCTACAGGGCCACGAGTTACGAGTTGGTCGTCTGCAGTGCTCTACTTGGCCTCCCCCAGGAGCCGGTCGGGTCCGTGCAGCTGGGCGGCGAGTTGGTCGTCCAGGGCGCTCTGCTCAGCCTTCTCCAGGACCTGCTCGGTGGCGTGCCGCTGGGCGGCGAGTTGGTCGTCCAGGGCGCTCT